AAGACCTGGATTGGAATCCTACCATAAACACTTAAGAGAGAGCAGAGTCACAACCGCCAGGACCATCAGTTTCCTCATCTGTAAAAAGTAAAGGTTGGACCAGGTCTCTGAGGTCCCTTTGAGCTTTAGAGCTAGAGCTCTACATGATGCTACCACCTCTTCCAACCTGTTTCCTCCTGCTAATAATAGCATCTACCTCCCAGTCTTAGTTTCCTCCAAATGCTCTGTGTCTTAAGTCTCCACCTCCTAGGAGAGTATAACAGTCATTCTAAGTTACTGATTGCTTAAATCTTGTCATCATGTGCTTGTGAGAGCCTTTTCTGTTACTGTGGTTCGGGTCGTGTCAGACTCTCCATGACCCCATTCAGAGTTTTCTTAGCAAAGATAGGAGAGTAGTTTGCCATTCCTTCTTCAGCTCATTTGGCAATTGAGGAAAATGAGGTAAACAGGGTTCTGATATGCTCGGGGTCACACAGCTAGAGGCTGGATTTTAACTCAAGTCTTCCAGACTCCATGTGCCACCTTGCTGCCTAACTGTACTGAACAGTTGTTTGGTTTTTGTGAATAGGAAATAAATACCTGTCCCATACCTGATATATACTGTACATTGGATGACTTTCTGCTCCCCAACTGGGGAGACCCTGGACATGAGACAAAACCCAATCCTTAAGTATTTTTCCCCTGAGCACTGCAGTAGGAATGTTAAGAGGTCAAGAAAGGAAGTCTTTTCTGTGTCATGGACCCCCTAGCAGTCTGGTGAAACCTATAGACCCCTTCTCAAAATTATGTTTTTAAATGCATAAAATGCATAGGATTACAAAGGAAATAAATTATATCAAAATACAGTCATCAAACTGTTCTTTAGGAAAATTTTTTTTAAAAAACTAGCTCATGGACCTAGGTTAAGAAACCTTGTTTTAGACAGTGAGGTTCCCCTATTACTGAACTCAGTCACAATGATGTCAGTCTAAAACAGAGGGGTCTTTAAATGGAGAAGAGATTACTGAGCCCAGTAGCAATTCTAATTGTTAGTTTTGCTGCCAAAGGTGAAAATTTTAATAGTATATTAAAAATGGAAATAATCACCACCAGATACCAGTAGTCCCAGTAATAATAATTGTTGAAATTTATATAGCATTTTGAGGTTTCAGAACACTTGATATATTATCTCCTTAGATTCCCACATTAACCCTATGAAGTAGATGCTACCGATATTATTAGCCCCATTTTACAGATGAGACAGCTTAGGCCCAAGAGAATTCACTAGAGCCATATTTTTTAGAGATGTAGGAAGCACCTGCCCCTGCCATGGGGACCAAGTAGCTGTAACATCCAAAAGGTCACAATTAAGCATGGGGAAGAGAGATGGCATGGATCCTGATATTGGGAAGGAGGCAACTGTATACAACAGTTCCTCCTTGTGGAAACAAAGTGCCAATGCATGAGACCTTCTCCCACTCCCTAATGAAAAATGAAGATTCTAAGGAGACTTCAACTTTGCAGAAACTAAGCTTCCATTCTATTTCCACCTAAAGAAGCAAGGGTGATAGGAATATTAGGGTTTGCTACATATAGAGATGATTAGAAGAATCCTACGACCACCATTTATTAGGCTAACCTAGAGGAAGAAAGGTATGGTGGAACGCTTACCAGAACTGATGTCCAGAGACTGAGACCTGGGTTCAAACCTAGATTGGGATATTTACTAGCTGAATGACCATGGACAAAGTACTTCATCCCCTTAAGCCTGTTTGCTTATCTGTAAAATTGGGCTAATAATACCTATAGAATCTCCCTTACAGGGAAGTTGTGAGGTTCATGGGGTTATAGATTTAGCGTTACAAGAGACCCTACAGGAAATTGAGACCAACACTCTCTTCTTATAGATTAAGAAACTGAGGTACAGAGAGATTTAGTGACTTGGGGGAGGGCATAGCTAGTAAGTATCTAAAGGAGAATTTGAACTCAAGTCTTCCTGACTCCAAGTACAGTGCCCTATCCATTACACCACACTGCCTGTACATAAAATATTTTGGAAAAATTTCAAAGTGCTAGATAAATGTAAGGAGATTTGGTGATTTGCTTTTTTTTTTTTTTTAATCTGTCATGTTTTCAGTGAGGAGGAAATTCCTTCCACTGATATAGACTAGCTACTCATCTGTAACCTACATCTTTAGTTACCTGGAGGAACCAAGAAATGAGAGATGAAGTGATTTGTTCATAGTGATAAAGCTAAGTATGTTTCAGAGGCAACACTTGATTCTTCTTTGCATTATGCATCACTCCTCCTAAATACCACTTATAATTATTATTGTTGCTGTTGTTTTTCCCAATCTCTCTTATTCTTTTCTGTGGAATGGCCCCCTTCGACAGCAGTCTGAGGACGCCTATGGATACCTTCTCAGAATCATATTTTTAAATACATTAAATAAAATGCATAGGATTACAAAGGAAATCAATTATATTGAAATATAGTCATCAACATATTTTTTAAAAAGTTCCTGGACCTAAGGCTGATAACCTCTGCTCTAAATGGCAAGCAAAGGGAGAAGGAGCTAAGATGAAGAATAGGAGGGAAATTGTATGTTTGTTATTTCCATTTCAGTCTTGTGGCTGTCACGTAACACCATGCCTATGATGCTGTTCAAGGCAGACTACAGAAGTGTGCCTCTGACCTCTTTTTCATGAAACAATCCCACACTAAAGAGGAGATTATATTCCCTAGGAGATCAGGAAGTTGTTCAGATACATGCTTTAAGGTCTCCTACTAGCCTACTAGCCTGTGACCAGCTTGTAGATTCAAGAATCCACAATCTACAATTCAAGAATGAGGTCTGTGTTTTTCAGAGATCAAAAAATATTTGGGAGGGAAGGGGAGAAAGGCAATACACCTATGAGAAAACAAACATAGTTAGATTAAAAAAAAAACTCACCAATACTATCAGGAATGACAAATTCATAACAGGTCTTAAAAACAACAATCCTGATTTGTGTGGCAATTTGATATTTATAAATGCTGCAAAGAGGAGTGTACTGGGGATTAAAGCAGTGACTCCAAGTCCCCAAACTGGATTTTTTTAGCTTGTTCATTGAGGACTTCCTGCCTTGCTGCTACAGACAACTTAAATCATACTGCCTTAGTCTTTTGGTCCCATTTAAGAAAGGGGAGGAGTTCCTCTACATGGTTGGATCACCGTGGAAGCATAAATTCAGTGTTTTAAGGAACCTGAGAAGTCATCTGGCCCAACCCTCTCATTTTACAAGAAGGGGATTCCCAGGCCCAGGTCGTTAAAGAGACTTGCCCAAGGTCACACAACTAGTAAAGTATCAGAACTGAGATCCAAACTCAAGTCCAGAAGAAAGTGGAAATTGTTGGATGCGGCATTTGGGTAAAAAAAAAAATTAATCTGTTCACAAGAACCTGTTGTAAGCATTTCCTAGGCATGATGTTCTGGGCAGTGAACTAGCATTCAGTCTATTAAAGGTTCATTGTGGGTCTGGTAGAACTTTGGATTAAGAAGAAAATTCAACCTGGTACTCAGTCCAATTTTCCTGGCTAAATGTTTGCATAAAAAAAAAATTAAAAGAATGATTTCACCATCATGAATTCCTCTCATTCCCTCTCAACACCCTTCAGGACACTAAGGCACAAGAGTAGCTGTGATTATTTAAATATAATGACATTATTAAATTAAGTATTAAATTAAATACCACTGCAATAGTCCATACACTTAAGGAGAGGTTCGATTCAATGGATTTTTGTGTAGAGGCTCTTTTTATGGATCAAATTTTCAAATTTAAGCAAACACAAATGCACAGGAAAATCTGTTTGAAAATGACAAGAGATACGTAAGATATTCTCACTCCCAAGGAGAGGCAATCAGACCACCACAATCAGAATACATACAGATCTTAAGAATCTTATTTTTATTTACATGCTGATACCACCGATGAATCACTTTCACCTTATATTCAAAGATAAAAGATACCAATTCTTATTACAAAACTCACATAGAAACTTGGTCTGTCTTTTAAAAATACATAAAGTGTCCCATCCTTTCAAATACTTGAAACTGTTTAATCATAATCAGACAGGTTTTTTGAGAAGCATTTCTTTTAATAATCACACACTGGATTGTATTTTTATAAACAGTTTTCTTTCTTTTTGCACAAGCTCTCAGAATCCTCTACTTTCCATGATACAAATCCTTAATCTTTGCTTCTCTCTGAATGTGAATGATGGGCTTTTGTTGGAAGATGACCTGATCTTATTATGCTCAAGCTATCTACACTTCATCCTTCTTACCTTAGACAAGTCACACATAGAGATACCTTGTATAATTTATAAGTTTAAAATATTTGCTTGTGTAATTCTGTAATGAAAGACCTCATTAGAAACTTAATATTAAATCTCAACACAAGCAACTCATCTTGCTTAGTAACTCTTTAAAGTAGCATTATCTGTAAAAAAACAAAACAAAAACCAGGAAGCCACCTAAAGAAGGGGAATTGCTAAATAAATTGTGGTCCATTCTTATCATAAAATACTGCAGTGGTCTTATGACATAAGTGAAGGGAACATAAAGAAAGCTGGAAAGACCTTTGGGAAATAGTGCAAAGTGATGTCATCCCCATTTACAGTAATAGAATTAAGACTATTCATCATTTGGAAGGTAATCAGATAGAGCACAGGAGGTGCATTTTAACTAGGAGCCCTGTCCACATTCAGCATTGCCATCTTAGCAGGAAATGTCATACCTCCCCCCAATCTTCTCCAGCTCAGAGTTACAGGGCACCCCCTCCATGCCACATTCATGTCTTCCATCTGTCTTCAATCCTAGTGGGGGAGTGGAACACACTTCTGGGTGTGTTCTGAGCTCAACAATATAGTTTTGACATTTCTCTTAAAATTGCTTATGAACCGTTACAGTGCCTGGTCTGTCTAGCTCACACAAGGTAGAATTAAGTCCTGAACTTGAATTTGGCAATCAAAACTTTACCTTTGGAAAATGCCCAGCGAGTCACCAACCGCATTCTTCACACCCTCCTTTCCCGGCTTCAGGAATTTTTCTTTGAAGGTAGTGAACCCCTTGAATGGCATGGTGAACGAAAGGCCTCTGTAGTGGGTTAGCAGCAATCATTCACTGTGTCCATCATTCTTGTTCATTTCCAGTTTGAGAGGCCCATGCGGAGTCCTTCCAGTAAGGCAAGTGATCACTTTTTCCCTGGAAAGTGCCAGGAAGATGAAATCCAATCAAGTTGTCCCAGGATGAAAAAAAAAAGCAATGGGGTATGGGGTCTGACAGCAATCAGGCTGGGGAGACTCTTTAGGAGTGCTAAAAGCGAAGCAGGACCTCGGCAGTGGCTCTCATATGCATAGACAATGAAGCTCAAGGCAGACTCCTAGGGGCTGCAGGTGGAGATGCTAAAGGGGGCACTCACTGAGGGACTTGGGAAAGAGGCACATCCCTGTGCTTTTGCTTCTCACTAGTCCTGCCTCGGTTTGGGCTGAGCTCTCTGTACCCCACACCCACCTGCCTTTTCCTGAGCTCAGCTGTGCCTCTCACTCCCAGATCCTCTTCAAGGGGATGCTATAGTAACGGACATCATGCCTGCCCCTCAGCCACTCCAGTTATTCATAGGCTGTCATCCAAAGCAGGCATCCAGGAGTAAAGTTGATTAAACATTTACAAGTTCTTTTCCAGCACCGAGGACAGAGGATCAGCCACCAAATGCCCAGATCCCTTCGGCAGAAGAACATCACTCCTTATTGGAGAGGCAGCGGGCGTACAGTGGAAAGAGCACTGAATTCAGAGTCAGAGGAACTGGGTTCAAATCCTGGCTTAGTCTCTTACTGCCTGTGTGAGCTGGGCAGTCTTAACCCCTCTGGGTCTTAATTTCCCCGTCTATAAAATGAGGTGTTTGAGCTAGATGGCTTTGAGTTCTCTTCTAGCTCCGTGACTCAGTCAACAGCTTCAACAGGGACAAGCAGAGAGGAGTTAGGGGGAGAGGAAATAATTATAACTCTTATTTTCCTAGAGCTTTAAGGCTTACAAAGCTCTTTCCTAATTTGTTGTTCAGCTGTTTTCAGTCACGTCCAACTCTTTATGACCCCATTTGGGGTTTTCTTGGCAAAGATAATTGAGTGGTTTGCCATTTCCTTCTCCAGCTCACTTTACAGATGAGGAAACTGAGGCAAACAGGGTTAAGGGACTTGCCCAGGGTCACACAGCTACTCTATCCAGCTGCCCATCTTTCCTAATACCTTTTTGTAAGAACATAATGCATACATACAGGCTGGTTAAGGTAGCCAGTGGTCTAAGGTAAGTCCCACCTGTAAGTGGGAGTTGGGACAGTCCACCTCAGGGCATGTGCTACATTATTATTGATTTGCAATAATAACCAGGGTTATGGCCACTTTCTATGCCCATGTGACCATGGGCAAGTCACTTCATGTCTCCAAGCCTCAGTTCCCTCATGTTGAACTAGATGACCTCAAAGGTCTCATTCAGCTTGAAATCAATGATGCTCTGATACCTTTTACAGCTGCGGAAGCTGAAGGTCAAAAAGACAAGTGACTTGCCCAAAGCTGCATAGCTGTTTCAGAGCCAGTTTTGAACCTAAATCTCTTGATTTCAAGTCAAGCGTTTTACAATATACAAAGCTGCTTGTACCTACAGCTATGTGGCGCAATAGGCCTGGAGTCAAGAAGACTTGAGTTCAAATCCAGCCTCAGACACTTCCTAGCTGGGTGGCCCTGGGCAAGTCACTTAACCTCTGTCTGCCTCAGTTTTCTCTACTCTAAAATGGGGATAATAATAGAACCTGCCTCCAATAGTTGGTGTGAAAATCAAAGGAGATATGCACATATTGCTTACTGCAGTGCTTGGAATAAAGTAGGTGTTTAAAAAATATTTGTTCCCTTCCCCTCTAATTAGAACCTTAGAGCTAGAACGGATCTTAGAAGTTTTACAGTTCAACCCACTTTTTAAAATTTTTATTGATGACTTATTTTTTTCACCACTTTCAATTCCAAATGTATCTTTCTTTTTACTCTCCTACCTTAGTGAAACATTCTTTGCAACAAAGAAAAAGAAAGAAAAAAGCAATTTAGCAAATCTAACCAATATGAAGACCAACTTTGACAGTATATACACTGTTCCACAGTCCCCCACCTCTTCAAAGAGAGGAAAGAAATCTCCTCTGTTCTCTAGGATCCAGTTTGTGTTGTTTATTTGAATTGCTGTAATAATAATAATGATAGCTAGCATTTAGATAGCACCTATGATGCGCCAGGTGCTACACCAAGCGCTTTACAAATGAGTTGTTTCAGTCGTGTCTGACTCTCTGTGACTCCATTTGGGGTTTTCTCGACAAAGATACTGGAGTGGTCTGCCATTTCCTTCTCCAGCTCCTTTTACAGATGAGGAAACTGAGGCACACAAAGTGAAGTGACTTGCCCCGGGTCACACAGCTAGGAAGTGTCTGAGGCTCAATTTGAACCCAGGTCTTCCTGACTCCAGGCCTGGTGATCTATCCATTGCACCATCGAGCTGCCATGTCACGTCATGTCACGTCATGTCATATGTTGTCATATTTATTGTTTTGCTGGTTCTGCTTACTTCATTCTGCATCAGTTCCTATATGTCTTCTCTTGCTTATCTGAATTCTTCATATCCATAATTTTTAATAATCAATCAACAAATATTTAACAATAAGATGCAGCTAGGTAGCTCAATGGATAGAGTGCTGGGCCCAGAGTCAAGAAGAACTGAGTTCAAATCCAGCCTCAGACACTTACTAGCTGTGTGACCATGGGTGAGTCATTTAACCTCTGTTTGCCTTGATCCACTGGAGAAGGAAATGGCAAACTACAGCAGTACTTTTGCCAAGAAAACCCCATGGACGGTATTGGTGTACTATGGCCCACACGGTCATGAAGAGCTGGACGAGACTGAGCACCAACAATCTTCAAATCCTCAGAAACACTTGAGTATGAGTCTGTGGTGACTAAAAGGACATTTGGTTCCCTGGTCTGGAAAGCACTCTAGGAAGACCTCAGGAAGACTGCACTGTAAATCACTCATTCAAACACTTTTTTCAAAGCCTACTGTGTGAGTAGCATTGGTCCTAGGAGATGACTTGCCCATAAAGGACCTTGGCCATTCCCCAAAAGCAAATACAACCACGAGATGGTGATTTAAGCATTTTCTCATGTAATGTAAGGACTGAGCTATGGCAATGGTGGCTGGGCCTGAGAATCTATTCCAAGGCTCTATCCTCAACCAAGTTAAGATACAATGACCCTCTCATTCAAGTTGCAAGAGATCCTAGAGGTATTTTGTGCTAACTTTCTGCCTTATGCAAAGATGTTCTCTATAACATTCCAACCTCTACTAGAATACTTCCACGATGCAGAACTCATTACTTCACAAGGCAATCTCTCTCTAATTGTTAAAGAGTTCTTCCTAAATCTGAACTGAAGTTGGCTCTCTATTGATTAGTTTCAGCTCTGGAGTTTTAAGGACTGAATCTGATCCATCTTTCCCAATAAGTAAAGACAGCTGCCGTGGCCCTGTTAAGTCTTCTCCAATCTAAACATCTAGACTGTTCCTCATGGAAAATGTTTTCCAGATCTGCTCATTATTTTGGTTGCCTTCCTTCAGCTATTCTCCAGTTAGTTGTTTTTTTGGTCACTTTTTTAGTAATGGTTGACTTTCCATGACCCCATTTGGGGTTTTCTTCATAAAGATATTGGAGTGGTTTGTCATTTCCTTCTCCAACTGATTTGATAGATGAGGAAAGTGAGGCAAACAAGGTTAAGCGACTTTCCCAGGGTCACACAGCTAGTATCTGAGGCCACATTTGAACTCAGGTCTTCCTGACTCCAGGCACACTGACTGCTCTATGCACCATGGTGCCACCTAGCTGCCTTATTCTCCAGTTTGGCCATTTTCAAACATGGCGTCCAGACCTGAATTTGACACTCCCAGGTATCTCCAACCGACTCTTCGTGAGGTCAACGGATTGGACAAGGATGCTGTCCCAGCTCTGGGGTGGTTTTTCCATATATCTCCCGTTAGGATTAGTAAATGCTCACAATTGTAATGGAAGAAGGGACACTTGAACTCAAGTCCCATTTCTCCAATGAATCATCCTTTGAATACTCCAGCCCACGTTGCTCTCCTGCTGCTTGGAAGTCCCACATTGCTATGCATTTATATCACTTAAGTTGGCCTTAAAAGATACACAAACACACACATATACACTCACATCTTATGTATCTTTTATTGTATAGATTAGTTTCATTAACAGCTCACATTGATATAGTACTCTACATATACTCTCTCATTTAATCTTCACACAACAACCCTGTGAGGGAGGTGTTATGATTGCCCCCATTTTGCAAACAAGGAAACTGAGGTCAAAAAAGTGACTTGCCCAAGGTCCCACAGCTACAAAGTGTCTGAGGCAAGATTTGAACCCAGGTTTTCCTGACTTTATTCTTTAATCACTACCACCTAGCAAGGCAGCATGTACTAATCAATAGAAAGCTAGCCCCAAAGTCAGGAAGCCCTGGGTTCAAATCTTGCTTTTGATACCTACCAGCTGTGTGACTCTCGATTAAGTCATTGATCCTTTCAGTGTTCTAGGCAGCTAGGTAGCTTAGTGCAAGATGTGGTGAATTCAGTCGCAGACATCAGTTACTGAGTATGATCCTGGGCAAGTCATATAAACTTTGAGGCTCAATTTCCTCATTGTTAAAATGAGGATAATAACACCTCCTAAGGTGGTTGTATTGAATGAGATAGCATACATAAAGAGCTTTGCAAACTTCAAAGCATTATATGCACGCTCTCTCATTATTAGCATCATCTTCTAGGCAGCTCTGCTGACTTGCATTGGGAAAGGGAGTTTTCTTCACCTGGGGGCTCCCTATACCAATGACATCTGATGACTTGTGATGTAAATGAACTCATACTCTTAAAAACTTCTGGTTTTTGTCTTTCCCCTCATTAGGCTTCACCTAAACCAACCTCATGTGTTAGATTAACTGGACTAGCAGTCACCTTCCAGGGACCCACTTTCAGCTCTAATCTCTAGGACAGGGAAGGACCGCATGTGCCTCTAGGTTCCCCACAG